CATTCTCTTAATGAATAGAGGGACTTGTTCTGATGGTGTTTGTAAATAGGATATCAAGTCTGCATCTTGTACATCAATTAACCACTAGGAAGAATGTATGCAATTTGTTAATTATTGAAACTGTCCTACCAATTTGGTTTGAAACTGTCTCATTGCTATTTGTTTCTCAATAAAATTATGGAAAAATATTAGGAACAACCCCCCCAAATAAATAAATAAAAGTCCATGAAAATTTTTTTTAAAAGTTAATAAATGAAAACAAGAGACAAAGAAAAAATGTCTTAGGACTATCCTGCTACAATGCTGTATATGTTTGGATTTCTACATTTCTGTGTTCAAATTTGTAATTGTTTATTTCTATTTTTTCATTATTTAATTTTTTTTCACATTCTGTATGGATTTAAAGTTTAGCATATCAATGGTTGATGGCAAATACCTGTTCCCTGTTATGTCTAAGGCATTGGATGTTCACACAGATACTGATGTTAAGTTCAATGGCCTATGTTCTAGGGTAATAATATCATTAAACTTCTCTTCTGAAGCATTAACAACTTAATTTAGCAGACCTAAATATTAGAGAAAAACTAGGGCTACAAGGACAGCCAACATTTTGGCCCTAGCCCTTCAAGGTCAGTGAGAACTCAGGACATAAGAGAACCTGTACTGTAACATCCTGTAACTCAGTGGTGTCCAAGATTTTCTATTCATGAAGAGTATAGGGCCACAAAGGAAAGTGATGAATGATGTAGAGTGTGCCTAAGGAGAGTCACATGGAGGGAAAACATTCCCTCAGGCTGTCACAGAGAGCCAATTGTTCAAGCAATGGCTGTGACTCATCCACTTGGCTGACAATGACAAATGATCTATAAACTACTGAACAATGTTTTAGGGTAAGTCCTGAGGGGATTTGACTGACCTTGTCACATGCAAAAGTTACATTACTTCTTATATAGGTTTTGCTTTATCTTGGTCTTAATCATCCAGCAGAAAAGTATAAACATGTGGTACAAAAAGTAAAGCCATATTAATATGCTGAGCTGTAAAAGGCTCAAGTCAACAACTTTTGACATTGCTAGTAATGCAGATAACTCAGTACTATTATGTACTACTGGACTATATTTTATTACTTTGCTGAATTCATGCACCTACAATATATGAACAAAATATATACAAAATAGCTAGCATAGATATACTGCTACTTTCTCTTAGTTCAATGAGAAGAAAGTTTTGAATGGTGTTTAGCCCTGATATCATGTCTGAATCTTGTACTATGAATAACTACAACAAGGACAACAATATACAGTATATTAATTATTGTAACTGTCCTACTAACCTGTTTTGAAACTATCTCATTGCTATTTCTTTCTCAATAAAGTTATTATTTTTTCAATAAAATTATTAAAAAATGAGATAGTTTTAAAATTAACTGTTCAGAGTACTTTGGCTTTAATGAAATTATATGTCAATTCACTTTCAGATATTAGGTTGCCAATTATTATAGTCAGTAAATTTATATAGATACTATTAAAGATTACTGCTTAAAGAGATTACTTATGGAAAAACTTGTAATGTTAAATTATACTTCTTATTTTATGTCAGTACACCTTTCATTAGCTTTGTTATGAATTTATGTGTTCTTTAATAACATTAGCCCCTCAAAGAATGCCTGATACTGTTGTGTAATTTTTCTTTCAAGGCTGATAATTTCAGTGTTGTTTAATTTGATTATATTTTATATCTGTCGTTTTATTTTTAGAAGTTTTGAGATGCCGGATGTGTGGTTATTTCCCTCTCTCTGTATTCTTTTTTTTTTTTTTTTTGGTGGAACCGTGGGTTGAACTCAGGCCTTGTATTCGCCAGGGAAGCATTTATTCCACTGAGCCATCTCTCTGGCCCTCTGTATTCTTTATGAAACATAATTTTTTAAAAAATCTGTATATTATTCTTGTAGCACTGGTTTGTATATTCTATGTAGCCTAACTATACATCTCAAAATGTATGTCAAGTGTTTGGAATGAAATTATAAAAAAGAAATGCTAATATAGTATACTTAATGCATTTGTAACATTATGCAATGTTATATTTTCCATATATCAGGAAAGTAAATCATGTAAACATCATGACATTTCTTACCTCAAAATCAATATCTGTACAATATCTGCACAAAACACAAAAGCCCATAATTTCTAGTACATCCTCTCTCTTCTCATTTTGAACAATAAATTTGTCCTGCCAGGGCAAGCACATCTTCTTCACATAACCAATTGGAACACCAGGAGGAGCTTGGATTTCTGTCTACAATAGCAAAGGAACATAAGTCAATGTAATAATGATCATAATATTTATGCTCAGTGAACATTTTCCTCTGATAATTGCATACTGACCTCATGAGAGCAACATGGGCAAGAGCAGCCTTTGCATGTTAGTGACCTCTCCACAGTCGCGACTTCTCGGCCCAAATTATCACAAATCTTCAAGGTGAAAGGCCTGTATTTTCCACAAAAATATCGGATTGCCCAGTGGGTATCTTCCACTACCAAGTAAATTCTCTGTCCAAGACTGTTCTTAATTTCATATTTGCTATTACATTCAAAGGTCGTTAAGACTAAAAACATAAAAGAGGAATTGATAATCAACATTTTTTTTAAAAAATAGTGAATTTCCCCTATATTATATGTTATAACAACTAGCTATAGCAGCTTTGGATGATACTTGAAGCAGCCCAAGGAAGAGATAAAGGAAAGATGTTTAGAAGTGATGCAGACTGAGAAAAAAGGTACAGAGAAAGTAGGAGAGTCTATTCAAGCAAGAAAAATTGAGCCCTGATGTAAACCAAGGAAAACAATGCACATCTCCTTATTCCAAGGCTGTTACATAGAAAGGCCCTACGTAGAGGACTAATGTAATGGTTTCCATGGTGCCTGGTATATAGATACTATTAAAAATTACCCACTTTAATAGATACTATTGAAGAATGCCCACTTTTGGCACAGTGTTCATGTACTATAGAGGAGTTGTAGAGCTATAGTGATCTTGCATTTTGGAGTAGTTACAGGAGCATGGCTGTTTAACTTCTGTGGAGTCTTGTGTTAAAGTGGCTTGAGATATTTGAGAAACTATGCTTTGGTCCTATTCTTTGTACCATGTTTTAGTAAGGTAATGATATTTTACTCTCAATGCATATATGTGAAAGGGAAGAGAATGAAAGTGGGAGGGTAATTCAGACATCACACTGGGGTCAGGGCACTGCTGTTAAGCTCAGCTGTAGTGGTAAGATGGAGATGCTTGTTAGCCAAGGGGTAAGTACACACCAATTAATATTCAAACTTGTGCATAGCCTTCAGATGCTGGATTTATAATTCATTAGACATCTTAATAAAATAACAATAGCTTAAAAGAAAGGAGAGCCAAACCACACTGCAAGTGTATGGATATGCAGGAAATTTTAGCCTGGTAGAGAAGACCTACAGGAGTCCTAACACTACGAACTCTCTTAAATGTCTTGGAAAAACTGAGGCAGACATGAGCTTGGCAGTTAAAAGGAACACATATACCTTCAACACTTGTCACATATTTGGAGAAAACAATAAACTGGCTTTGGAAGTATTTATTACTGAAGTGATTATTTCATGAAACTTAACCTCAGGAAATTGCACTTTTTTCAATTTTAATATAATGTGTTATGTAATTGCCACACTTTATTTGAGGTACTTAAACGTGAAAATAAGACAAAAGAATTCCATACTTTTGTCTTTTAGATATATTAAGCTTTGAGTTGAGGAAGAAAAGTGTGTGATATATGCTCAGATTGTATATAATTTTGAGTAATCTTTATCTTCTTTAGGCTACTTATAGTATGAAAAAGTAATATAGGTCTTAAATTTGGAGAAAGCAGGAACAAGAAAACTTAGGGCATCTCTTCAAAAAAATGAAGAATTCAGTAATAGTAATTTTGAAGATAACTTATCATTTATAACAAAGAAACACATACTTCATATTTATAAAATATGTAAATCTAAAGAGATGCTTAAAAAAAGAGATACTTGATCTGTTGTATAATGTATGGTCCCTGACTAATTGGATTTTATAGCATAAATAGCAAATATCATAGAATGACCATATTCAAATATTTAGAATATGAATTATTAAATAATGGCCTTATTTCCAAAGCAAAGCTAGTTTAGAGAAGCTAACAAAACCAACAACACTGAAATGCTCAATCACTTATTATTATTATTATTATTAATTTTTTAAAATTTATGTATTTGGTACAAGGTCTCATTATCCAGCTCAGACTTGTAGTGATCCTCCTGTTTTCAGCCTCCCCAGTTCTGGGATTGCAGGAGTGCACCACCATGCCCAGACTAGGTAGCTGGCTCAGTGTGCCCCCAGGGGCAAGGCTAGCACTGCATGCTGGACAAGGAATTGAACCCTAGTGCCTCTGCCTGCCAAAGCAGGTGATTAGTCCACTGAGCTATCTCACCAGCCCTTTCAACCACTTACATTATAAAGAATATAAATATGAGTAATGATCATAAAACAAGAACCTCTTCCTCAGTTTGTTCAATTTATGTTCTTATTTCTAACAGTACAATAGAACTTCCAAACAGATGAAGTGGGTTTTAACAGACATAGTTTGAAAGCAGAGAGTTTTAGTTACACTCTTATATGTAAAGAAAGACACTACGTATCATCCATCTGCATAAATCTTATTCCCCTGGCAGTTGTCCTGAATCATCTAGTTGCTTCCTAAGGTTGTTCTTACCCCTGGGATTACTGAGGCTCACTCTGGGGCACAGCAAGTGCCCTTGTGAAAAGGTGGTCTCCAGGCCTTAAGCCACCATCCTCCAATACTGCAGGGCCTCTGATTCTGATTGCGCTGTTAGTCTTCTGCTCATGGAGTGAGCACTTTACAGTGCCCATCTGAACTCCTAGGAGAAGCAGCATGAACAGTTCTTTTCCATAAAACCCCTATCCATTCAACAAATTCAGTTTACTAAGTTTACTAAGGGGGCTAAGCCGGTCCCTATGGTTTTATGCCATTTCCAAGTTGACAACAAAATAGAAATCCAAAGCTGAAATGCTTAAAGTCATATAAAGTGAAAACATAGTGCAAAATGATTTGCAGAGAGGGAGCAAAGCAAAAGCAATTTTAGACTGTTTTCCTTCTAATGCCAGTATTTTGTGAACACATGCTCAGTGTAAGTATGTTAGAATTTGACTCTTAATTTTCAGAAATAAATTGCTGATAACATGTAGACTTTTTTTTTGTGTGTGAAAAGACATTTGTTAACTGTCCTATATTAATTAAAGTGCTGTATTTTTGGTGGCTAATATTCCTTTGCCTGTAAAAACATCATCTACTTCTAGAAGTATCAATACACTAAATACCTTCCAGAATTTCAACTTGCTGGTGAACTAGAATCAGATCTACCTATTGAAAGAAAAAGAAAATTAAGTGCATATAATCAATTATTAATACTTAACATTATCAATATTCAATATATTACACTTTAGTAAAAAATTAAATTTAACACTTGAATAGGTAAAATATTTATTGAAACATTCTACTTAATATAAGAAAATTTAGGGCCAGAGAGATGGCTCAGTAGAATAAGTGCTTTCCTGGCAAGTGCAAGGGCCTGAGTTCAATCCCTGGCTCTGCCAAAAAAAAAAAAAAAGAAAAGGAAAATTTAAGTCAATAAAGCTAATTTACAAGTGGAATTCGTACAACAATGTTATTTCTCCTAAGGCCTTAGGAAATGTTCATAACTTTTACAATTCCAATGTTAAGTGTACTTGGCTTCAACAATGGTATTAGGTAGTAATTTCCTCTAAGTAGTATACAAGGTCCTGATTTTAAAAATATGTGTTTCAGAGTATTTCTCAAAGAATATAATTATGGCTAAAATTGTTATACTTTATCCTGTTTGAGTGGAAAATTAAGTCAGTAGAGTGTGCCAAAGAGCACCTGATTCATTAAAAACAATTTACATATCATAAAACTTTTCTTTGTATGTTTATAGTTGGGTACACAGAACTTGAGTGTTTTCTCTCTCATTTCTTACACCAAAGAATGTTAAACTTCACATGCCAAAATTCCTATAATTTACTAAAGCAAAAGAGTAGTCTTCATTCCTCATTAGGAGTTTAGTATTTATAAAATTAAAGTTGTAAAGAAAAAAGCAAGACTATAAATATTTTATCAGTTATTAAACTGAGCCAACTTATGCATGAAATATTAACTCTTTATGAGATACCACTATTTGAACTTAACTGATAAATTTCTTTCACATTTTCAGAAACTATTAAGTTTTGGGATAAAAACACTGGGTTTAATTCCAAAGTCCAACCTAAAAATCCAGTCTCACTGTCTTAGATGTTTGACCCTGGGTGGGACATGCAAAGTCTGAAACAAGATGATAGTTATATTATGAAAATGTCAGAGATCTTATGGAAGGTGTACACAGGATAATATAGTATTGTGCTCGTGACAAAAACTGGAAAACGTTGCTTAATGAGTATTCTTTATTGGCTATTATCAGAAAGAAATCAAAATAATAAAAACCACAATTGTCTCATACATTTGTGTTTGGCTTAAAAAAAAACATGAATGTGACCTAGAAGAATTAGAGCACTCTGTTGCCTGAAAATGCTGCTCTGCCATTTCAGAAGTTTATTCCTTATTCCTTTATTCCAGTTAAGCAATGTGAAAGCACAGTTGGGTCATATTTATGAGTATTTTATGTACTTGACATTACCTGATCTAACCATTCCAGCCCAGGTGGGCCATCCCATGGACATAGTGGATTTGGCATCCGTGGTACTGCTCCAAGTGGATTTGGACAATTATATTTTGGCTGACTTTGGATAGGAAGCCTGTCTTGGATAGCACCAGGAAAGCCAGCTTCTGGGATCAAGGAGTCAGTCTGGGGACTCTGAGAAGCACCCTGGGAGTCAAGATAGCCAGCCTGGGGATCTTGATTAGCACCACTGAGACCAGAGCAGCTGGTCTGGGGACCTAACTGTGGAGGCAGTGGCTGAGTGTCACCAGGCTGGTGAACTTGGCTGGCATTCTGGGAATGGGAGTAGTCAGTATTTCTTGGAGACCCTGAAATAGGAACAAGTGAAATAATTTAAATCTGGAGATATTGGGATTAACTAAGTATCCTACTTGACTCAGCTCATTTGGGGCTTCATCCCATGCTATGTTACAATCTTACAACTCTTACACATTAAAAGACCAATATGATATTTAGTTAGGATTTTATTATTTATTTACTTTTTTTTGTATTTTTAAAGAGGGATCTATAGGGTGTTCAGGGTCTCACTACTAGATCAGGCTCATAGTGATCCACCTGTTTACAGCCTCCCAAGAGCTGGGATTACAGGCATGCACCACCATGCCCAATCTCAATTGCCATCTGAGCATGCCCCAGGGGTGGGGCTGGCACAGCAGACCCAGGGATCGAACCCCTGACCCCTGAGCCTGCTTGCAGGCTCTTTAATCTGCTGAGCTATTTGGCCAGCCCAGGTTAGGAATTTTAGTTTTAAAACTTAACAGCCTATGTTCCCTGGAAAACAAATTTGAGAAACAAGGGAGGAAAATGTTGTAAGAGTCAAAAATGTTTAATGGTTAAGAAGCAGATTGGAGAAAAAAAACTTAATAAGCGTATGTTTTACATTTCTCTGTAAATGTGTGAATACAATTAAACTTCCAAAGTTTATTTACAGAGTAGTAATTCCATAGAAATGGAATACATTTTTAAAATTTTATTTTAAAGACTAGAAACAAAAACAAAGGCCAATTCAAATAGCAAAAGCAAAGACAGAGTAACATAAAACAATACATATGGTACAGAATTTTAAAACAAGAATGAAAAATTAGCAATAGTTGTTATATTATATATTTTTATTGTCAGATCTGTTGCTCAGATTAATAGATATAGGTATGCAAGATTGGTCAGATAATTAACCAATACTTGCTTTCAATAAACCTTAATTTTTTTTCCTTATCCTTTTTACTTTTAATTTTTAATTAAGCTAAATTAATTAATTATTTTTAATTGGAGGATTTTTTTTTTTTGCTAGCTCAGGCTGCCTTATTGGCCAGTCTAATGTGATTTGTGGAGCTGGGGATTGAACCGCAGTCCTCTGTGCTTGATTGAGTTCTGCAAAGCAGGTGCTTTAATCAACTCAGCTAACCAACAAAGCACCCATTATTTATTTTACAGAGATTATAATAATAATTGATAAGACATTAGAAATGGTACATATTTACATGAGCAAAATGAGAGGCATACAACCGCGGTTTCTGTATTGCACACTGCTGTCTTTGATGTAATTGCTCAGATTACAGATATTAGCATATAGAGCTAAAGTGGAAATTTTAAACATTAACTACTACTTCTATAAAACTGATGGAAATTAGTACTGAAATCATCCCAGCTAACCTGTATACACACTCGCATGTTTTCCCCTTCCTTTATTTCCTATCTTTTCTCAATTTCCCTCATTTTCTTTGTTTATTCCTTATGTTCGGTTTCTTTCCATTTTACCATATCTACTGTATCTTTCAGGTTCTTGCACTAGGGAGACAATATGATATTTACACATATGGGTTTGATTTATTTCACTTATGAGTATGGACTTGAGTTGCATCCATTTACCTGGGAAGGCCTCAAGTTTTTCTTTCTTTATAGCAGAGTAATACTCTATTGTATACAAATATCACATCTTTTTTAAATCCAAGGAATGGAATACATATGAAAGCAGTTTCACAAATGTTTTAACACTGAAAATCATGCCAAATTTAAAATTTAAAGTAAGAATGTAAGCGTGTGCTATAAAGATGTACTAATAAAAGTAAAAACATTTAAAATAGGCAACATATCCTTTTAAATGGGACAGATACAAAAAATTCATATACCTTTCAGAACTAAGGCTAATAGCTGACTGAATTATACAGTAATGCTCTTCAATAGCTTTTTAAAATCTATTTCTTCTACAGTGAATAAATATTTATAGTGATAAATATACCAATGACTCTTGAATTAGGGTTTATAGGTATCAACAAGGTTACCTTCTATCGTCAGGCTCATGGTCAACTCTGGAAGACAAAAAACAGAAATAGTGCCTATCAGTGTGGTAGAGAAAATACATTGGGGAGATAACTTGGTTGGAAGCAGCAAGTTAGAGGACTTTTCTTTTGTCTTTTCCAGCAGTACCAGGGATTGAACTCAGGATCTTGTACTTGCCAGGCAAGCACTTATTCTACTGAGCTATTTCCCTGGCCCAGGAAGCAGCAACTTTAGATATAATTTAGCTTGTGACCAAAAAAATAATAAGGAAAGGGCTTACATAAATATCTAGTAAGAAATGTTGTAGGAAGAAACAAGAGCTAGTGTAAAGACCCTGACGCTGGGAGTGAATTTGGCACGTTAGCAAGCAGGAACGTCGAGAGAGAGGAAGACTAGGAAAGGCGCTCAGCAAAGTGACAGGAAACAGTTCATCTCCGGGAGCCCTTGAAAGGAGTTGTAGTTTGTTCCAAATGTGACAGGCAGGCAGGCATTGGAGGATTCTGAGCAGAAGAGTGAATTCCATGATGCCACTTATATTCTATGAATTTTTTTTTTGAAGTGCTGAGCACTGTGATTAATGATGAAAAACAGGGAAGCTATTCCTGTTCTCACTGCCATACGCAGAGGCACAACACTACGTTCACCCTTTCTCTACCCTATCAGTGTGATTTTAAAATTAGTATTGGAGAAAAATACTTTGATGTTAGGGACCTAAGTTTTATGACTGTGTATGTCACAGGCAGCTATTAAGATGAGGAGAGGAAATTCATGATCGGATCAAAACTGTCCCCCAAAAGGCTCAGGTGTTTAGAGGTGGGCTTTCAGCATCTGAAGGCAGTGGCTACATCCACAAAAGGACCCACTGGTGGTCTCATAGCCGTATGGACTGTTGGGAGGGGGGCTCCCTAGAGGACAGCAGGCCACAGCAGGAGGAACGGGCAGGACCTACTTCCTCCTTAGCCCCTTGTTCTCTACCTGCTTCCCGGCCAGCGCAAGCAACTTTGCTCTGCTCTGCTCCTGCTGCTACCGTGCTCCATCTTTCCCCCATACCCAAGTAGCAGAACCAGTGGACAGAAACTGGAGCCCTGAAACCAAGAGCCGAAACATTTCTTTCTCCCTGAAGCTGACTTTCGTAGGCATTTTGCTATAGGAACTGAACAGTAACACAGAGGGGAAAGCAAGAGAGCTCGAGGCGCTTCCCTTCTGTCCTTCAGCAGAGATCTGATCTGATCTACAAAGGAACTGAAGGGACCAGGGGCAAAGAACACTTCACACACAAATCCTGGTTTGTTGACATACACAGGTCTTAACAAATCAGAAGAATGTCCAGACAAGCTGAACTGTAGCAAGGCGGCCCTCAGAAGCAGTTCAAGGTAAAGGAAGCCCACCACCCTGGGTGGACGGAGAGACCAGCAGTCGTCACGGAGACCAGCGACGTGGACGTGCCTGATGCTGCAGTGAGAAGCAGGCAGCTGGGTGCTGGAGCGCCCTGCCAATAGAAGCCCAGTCAGGGCCCCAGACCCGCAGGCCAAGACCAGCTCCACAGCAAGCGGAAATCCCATGGCAAGTTTGGGGTCCACGGCACGTCTCTGGGACCTGACTTGAACATTGTAACAGAGCTGTGAACACCAGAAGTAATCTACTGCTTTTATTCTCTTTGTTTGTCTGACTGGCGAACCTCTTCCTGTCTGATTAACTTTCATCTTGTTTTGTTTTGCTTTTGGGGGTTATAGGATTAATTATTGCGAAGAGCAAATAAGTGAACAGGCAGATGGTCAAGTAGAAAAAGTAGGTTAGAAATATAAGCAGATTTCTATATTCTTGAAATACAATCTAAAACAGCTTGTACACAGCACAAAGACTAACCTATTGCCTTGAAGATACGTTATTTTCACATTTTACGTGTATATGTGCATAGGTTTACATTTTAGGTATATTTATTAATATATTTATACATTTTATTCCTGTTAATTACATATATAAATGTGAATACATAATTTTATACTCAAAACTGAGTAGCTAAATTTGACTGTGACCACTTTCAAATTAATTTTTCTAAATGTGGTGAAAGTTGCTAACATACAAAACAGTTTAATTGTATATAAACATAGATAGATAGACAGACAGACAGACAGACAGACAGACAGACAGATATAGATACACATTTTTTTTGTTCTGTTTTGTTTTGTTTTTGGTCCTCTCATGATGCCTTAAGGGCAGTCCTTGGAAGTCATGAGAATCTGGGCATTTGAACCAGAGAATTCTGAGGCTGACTCCTTTGCTTGAGCAGTCACTTAAACAACTGAGCTAGTGGAGAGGACCCCTAAATTTATATTTTAAAAGCAGTAATTAAGAGAAGATCCAAAATCTCTATGTGGGAAAACTAAGGAGTTTGGCTCTCAGGATTATCTAAGATATCAGTCAAGCTGGATGATGTAGTGAGAGATGAATCTTTTTCAATATCTCAACAAAGATTAAAAAAAACAAAGATCATTTAAAACTGGAATTTGGTTTTTGATATTGTCATGATGCATAGTATTTCTCTTTTGAGTACTTTAAATTACCAATAAACCAAAACATTTATTACATGGTTGTTACATAAATATTTGCTTTAAAATTTTAAGTGAAAAAGTGAGAATATTATGGTTGGTATTATTTAAACCTATTTAACACTGAAAGGTCAAGAAACAAATGCTTAAATTATGTTGTGATTTAAACAGTTCATAGGGATGGCCAGATAGCTCAGTGGACTAAAGCACCTGCTTAGGCAGAGCACAGTGGCCAGGGTTTGATCCCTGGCCTGCTGTGCCAGCTCTGCCCCCGGGGTGCACTGAGTTGGAGATTGAGACGGCAAGGTGGTGCACGCCTATAATCCAGTGCTTGGGAGGCTGAAAATGGGAGGATCACTACAAGTCCAATCTACATAGTAAAACGCTGTATACCCTGTAGACTCTGTCCTAAATTCATTAAAAAAGTAATAAAAATAATATGAATAAATAATAAAAATAATTTTAAGAATAATAAAAAATAAACAATTCACAAAAATAAGAGTTGATCTCATCAAAGGTCAATGAATTTATAGGTCAAGTATGACTCTTGAAACAAGATACTCCATAAACATGAAGTCACACACATGGACTCATCCTTTTTATTCATCTAGGCTAGCTTTACACAGTCAATTAAGTCTGTTGGGCTAGAATTCACAAATTAATGTTATGCATCATGTCAAGTACACATTAAGTATCTAATGTGAGGGTCTAAGATCCTGCCTGAGGAGTCCCAACTGAGAAGGCACTTAGTAATCGCTTTCTTTGGAATTAGAGATCAACTGCTCCTTGGCAGAAATGCTACCAAGACAAACTAAATCCTCTACAACCTCTATAACATTCTCCCTGTTCATGGTTGCACTTTTCTTTCTGTCTGATTACATTACCTGAGTTTTAAAATATAAATGACTGAAGATAAGCTCATACTGGTGACACTGTTTCAGAATTATGTGCCTTTAATCCCAGCACTCAGGAGACTGAGGCAGGAGGAGCTTTGTGAGTTAGAGACCTACTTAGGCTATAAAGTGAGCTTAAGGCCAGCCTGAGCTGCATAGTGACAGCTGGGTTCTAACTGTACAGAAGGTTTTATGTACAACAATTACATAGTTGCACAAGCACTGAAAATGGCATTTACTAACTTCACATAAGAATTAAGAATTGTAAACACTGGGCCAGGAATATACCTCAGTGCAGAATCTGCCTGGCAAATGTGAGGTCATGAGTTCCCTTCCTGGTAAACTGGGGGGGAAGGGAGGGAGGGAAGGAGAGAGAGAGAGGGGGAGGGGGGGGAGAGAGAGACAGAGACAGAGACAGAGAGACAGAGACAGAGACAGAGACAGAGACAGAGACAGAGAGAGAACATTAGTGAAAATGTATAATTCCAGCTTTTCAACTCATTCTACATTAAAGAAAAGAAAACCTATTGATTCATCTCTTGGTATCATGAAGTATTTCTTATTGTTTTCAAAAAGTTTTTCTGGGAAGTATAAAAATACTATGCCTATAAAATTGGATCTCCTCAATTTGTGTTCTTTGTCAGAATCTACTTGTTACTTGCCCAAGAATGAAAGCACCCCTCTCCTGTTTGCTTTATCAAAACATAAGATAAACTGGGTCACATTCTTCTCCAGCATCAAGGTGGCAATGTATGTTGTGAGACATCTTCGCTCTACACGCATGCTTTGAGAGCAACCACCAGAATGTTGGGTTTCTAACTTCTTCCAGTAAGTGAGAATGAAAAGGGGAATTGGGAGGTCAGGAGAGAAAGTAATATTTTTTGATACGTCATAAATCAATTAAATTTCCTGTACTTCTACTTATGTTTTAGGTTAATTGTGTGTATTCTGAAAAGTTACTAACACTTTTTAGAAGGCTCATATCCTGAATGTGGTTTGTGTAATGCCTAACAAAATGAAAACATTTTTCTTTACGGAAATGGGCGAAGGTGAGCATTTGATCAGACCCGCAGACATACCATCACATGCGAGTTAGAAGTGCTCCGAAGCTGAGTACAGAGTGAACATACCTTGAAATGGGAAATCCTCCATGCCATCCATTTCTATATTTTAGGCTCAACAAAACAAAACAAATATGCTTAAGACCAGCTTGGAATTGGGTCTTATCTCACACTGAGCCTTGAATAAAAGTATAGGTCATACATGAACTGGAACAATCTGAGACAGGAGTGATCAGGTGTTCCACAAAACTGACAGTGAGAAAATGCTTATAAAGCCATTTCATGTAATTTGATTGCATTATATTTCTGCAAAGCAGTGCTCCCTCACACATGAAGCGTCCAGTGCTCCTTCACAAATGAGTTATTTCATTTCCTCCTTGTAAATGAGGAAATTACCTACAGAGAAAAACGAGAGGATGTGGAATGCCACACAGCTCACTAACTAATTGAATTAAGATGATTCATGATTTATAACCTTTATATTCATGTTCTATTTCACTGGAAAAAAGAATTGACAGCTTTCAGTAAAATTGGTCAGAGACAATGCTTATAGTATCCCCTTATGTAAAGCAGAAAAGTGTTGAATTTAAATCTACTCTTGTGGCTACATATGTTTACTAAGCTACGTAAGAATTTTTTCTAGGCATGTATTAATAATAAGGTGGGAAAAAACAAAGAAAAATTGTTACTATTTATTACTTAAAGTGCTGGCTTTTAAGTTGAGAATTATTTAATATAGTGCTGTTCTAAACATGCATGCACATGTATACATAGCAATATAGCTATTTGCTATATAAATATTTACTTCATATATGATTTTTATGGTTTTCAAGAAGTATTCATTAAAGGTACAGAACATATAAGGTCTGTACTGCACATTGGAGGACTGCTCCAAGGTACCCAGGAGATGAGACAGTTAAGATAATTAAATCATATATATATATATATATATATATATATATATTATGCTCCACTACTGTAAGTTATAGGATGCCATAAGAAAGAGTTTAGTGGTCACAATGGAAGTGAAATTGATGGGAAAGTCAAGTACGAGTTTTTAAAATCTGCAAACTCCCAGAGGTCTTGGTATATGTGTTTGGTTGGGTGGGAGGCTGACATGGAATATTTTAATTTTTTGGGTTTTTTTGGTGGAACTGGGGATTGAACTCAGGCCCTTGTACTTGCCAGGCAAGCACTTATTCTACTGAGCTATCTCCCCAACCCCATGGAATATTTTAGACAAGGGAAATGTTGCAGGTAAAAGTCTTGAGGATGAAGACAACTTTTCCCTGTCAATGAAATAAATGCTATTTTGGGGGTACAGAGCACAGGAAGGGCATATTCTGAGAGATGAGGATGGAGAACTGTGCCGGAGTCAGTTCACATAACTTTAATGTCTCTTTGTCTCTAAGACAAGCTCCTTTAGAGACAACCTTTAACTCACCTATTTTATTCACCACTTTTCCATCCAAATTCAGATACCTATTCATTTTTAATTATTAAACCTTTCAATTGTTCAAAGCTTGCAACTGTCTAGAATGCCAGCATGACATTAAGAGAAAATTCAGCAGTTAGCACTGTAAGAGAAAGCCCCAATTTTCCAACACTTCCCACCTCAACCCAGAAGAAAATGGAAGAAAAGATAACTCCTCCTGACCTGGACAGCAACCATGTCCAGAAAACAAGAACAACAGTTCCCATAAGACTGCAAGGTAACCAGATAGTGAGCTAGATGAAGCAAGGACTTCATATGTGAAATAACCAAATATAGCTTTCATTAAGCACTTCCTGCAGGGCTAGGCACTTCAGTAGAAACTTACGTTACTACACATAAGTCTTAGGACTTGTGTCTCCTGCATCACATAATTTCAGAGGTAAGGCAATCTGAAAAAATAGTGGGAGGCAGGACTTAGACTCCAGCAGCCTGACTGCAACGCATCTTCACTAGGCCATCTTCCCCTCTGCCTTCTTGTGCCTCCCCCTGGTATTCTAGAATGCCAAGCATTGTGTGTGTTCCAGTCATAATTCCAATTAATATTTAACATCAGTGACAGTGGAATGCACTATTTGCTGCTTCTAATCATCAACGATGCTGGAAAGAACTAGGGCCTCAGTTTCCGCCCATGATTTGGGGCTGCCTTTTGAGTTATGAAGCTGTGCAGCCAGATGAAAGCAGGACCCTAAGTTCTAGCCCTTACACTATATCCTACCAAGGGATAGGTTGACCCACACTTTAGAACCTCTCCTGTTTGAGTGCCATGAAGGGAGAAGGAATGGTGTGTCTTTTCCACAGAAGGATGTCAGGTACAGACAACCTCATAAATCCTGTCGGTGCAGACACCCTTACATGTCTTTGCTGGAATCGAAACAGGCAATACATAGTCTTCTAAGGAATATGACCAACCTCAGAATCTGCCACAGCCAAATGTTTGTGAAAAAGTGTAAAAACTAATATAAAAAATTAAATACATTGCCAATGAGTGACTTAATTACTGCCACTTAATTATTATTGCTCAACTATTGATTAAATTAGATAGCTTATTTCCAAAATTGTTAAATTTGGGCTTACACAGTAACAAAATTTTATTTCAGCCTCTTGAAGAATCAAAATAGAAGATCCTATAGTTCTGGCATCTGTTAAATTTCAAATATTGTTTCAGATGGTGAAAGCAAACTGAAACATGTTTCCCTTTTCTTATTCATTTTAATGAGAAAAAAGATAAAATAGCAATGAAACAGTTTCAAAACAGTTTAGTAGGACAGTTACAATAATTAATACATTGCATACTGTTGTCTTCATAGTATTTATTCAGAGGACAAGATGTAGACATGATATCTTATCTAAATGATATTAGTACCAACCTTCTCAATGAACTAAGAGAAAACAGCTGTATATCTGTCCTAACTCTCTTGTATATACATATTTTTTTCACAAAAAAGTTCCTTTGTTTATATCCCCTTTTTTTGTTTTGTTTTGTCAGAGATGGGTACTCTATTGCAATTAGAGAAGCTTTATTTGGATAAGTCTGTCATATTTGATGCCAGTCCAAAGAATGTAGGTACTTGAACTCAGCAAAATAACCCAATATGGTCCAATAGTCTATAATAGTAGTGAGTTATCAGCTCAACTGGCAATTGTTTGAAGTTGTTGACTTGATCCTTTTACAGCTCAGCATTTTAATATAGCTTTACTTTTTATGCCTCATGGTTATACTTTTCTGCTGGATGGTTAAGACCAAGTTAAAGCAAGACTTATATAACTAAAAATGTGACTTTTGTCTCTGACAAGGTTAGTCAAATCCCCTCAGGATTTACCCTGGAACCATGTACAGCACCTTGTGGCTCTTTTGTCAGTGTCAGCCATCTGAATGAGTCACAGCCATTGCTTGAACAATTTGCTCTCTGTGAAAGCCTGAGATAATTTTTTTCTCTCTAGGTAATTCTCCTTAGACACACTATATATTGCTGATCCCTTTCCTCTGTGGCGCCATAATCTCCTTGATCAGAAAATTTGAGACACTACTTAGTTACAGGATGTCACAGCAGACGTTCTCTTATGTCCTGAGTCCTCACTGACCTTGAAGGACTAGAGTCAAAATATTAGCTAGCTTTTTAACCCATCTCTCTCTCTAGTCCTAATGTTAAAAAATAAAAATTTCAGTTTGAAAAAAGAAAAAGAAATGGACATTTCTTTGTAAAAATAAAATCTAAGGGCTGGGGAGATGGTTCAGTAGAATAAGCGCTTCTCTGGCAAGTGCAAAGGCCTGAGTTCACATAACTTTAAGCCTTTTAATTGTTCAAAGCCTGCAAATGTCTAGAATGTCAGTACAACATTATAAGAAAATTCAGCAGTTAGGAATGTAAGAGAAGGCCTCAATTTTCCAACACTTCCCATCTCAAACCAGAAAAACCAATCAATCCCCAAATTTAATCCCTGGTTCTGCAAAAAAACAAAAAAACAACAACAACAAAAAACATGCACTTTCACATCTAATAGTATAAAGTGTTATGTGATGAACAGTTTCTGTGCTTTTGAATTGCATAATCTCAATAATATAAATCATAAAATATTTTAAAAACTTGGAATACAAATTGTTAAAAAACAAAGTGCTCCTTTCTGGAGAAAACCGAGTTGACAGAAATGTAACTGAACCATGACAATATAATCTGATGAAATTCATTGTCATTGAAATGTAATAGTTGACAGTTGTAGTAATTGAATAAAAATCCTTCTCTGCTTGGACAATTTATTTTCTAATATCTCTCAGTAGAAAGAAACTTTCCAAACCAGTGAAAATGGCCTTAAGAGATACAGCGTACAAGCCGGCATTGCTTCAGCACTGCCGTGGCTGAGAAGCTCGCTGGAGCCCCGCTCCTCTCACAGCTTGCCAAGCATCTATGGTAGCCACAGTGACATCTGCCTGGACCAGGCCCACGCGGAGGAGGAGAAGCGCTCTCACAGGGAGCTGGACTGCCGGCTGCCGACTGCGGGCAGGACCTGTGTGGTGTGGGGCCCTGCAGTCCAGCAGGAATGCTCTGCCCAGGGAATGCCTACATTACAGGGATCGTCCGAATACCCAAGGGACACTGAGTACAGAGGGAAATTTCCATAATATCTTCACCCAAGTGATTGCTTCCTTTGGAAATGCATGAAGGGAAGTGAACTGTCTCATGTGGTTTTGTGCCAGTCTCCAGCGGAAATGTGAGCTTGGTAGAAAATATCTGGTGTTAAAAGTCAGGCAATGCAGGGGCTGGAGAGATGGCTCAGTGGTCTAAAGCACCTACTTGAAACAAGCTTGGCAAAGCACAGGGACCGCGGTTTGATCCCCAGCACCACATGCCAGCCAGACCCGCCCCCTGGTGGGCTGAGCTGGCCACACACACACACAATAAATAAATGTAATAAATAAAAAAATAAATAAATATTTAAAAAAAAAAGTCAGGCAATGCAGTTCAAACCTTTAAATTGATTTGTAGAGAGGAGAAAAATTGTTTAACTTGGTTTCTTCTAAGTTAATGCCCGTATCATGAGAGTAGACATCCAGCATAATAAGTACTATCATACTTAAATTTGGGGGTAGTCTTTATTTATTTATTTGGCACAAGGTCTTGCTATGCAGCTTGGACTCATAGGGATCCTCCTGTCTCAGCCTCCCCAGGGCTGGGATTACAGGCATGCACCATAATGCCTGGTTTCGGTGGCTGGCATGGAGTACCCTTGTTCCAGGGCCAGCATGACATGTGGTACCGGGGATTGAACCCGGGTCTTTGTGCTTGCCAGGCAGACACTTAAACTGCTGAGTTATCTTTCCAGCCCCAGTATTTTAATATTTGACTGCTGACAATGTTCGTGTATTTTTTTTTTTTTTTTTTTCAGAACCGGGGATTGAACTCAGGCCCTTGCGCTTGCCAGGCAAGTGCTTATTCTACTGAGCTCTCTCCCCAGCTTCTCTTGTATTCGTTATCCTGAAGAGATACATTTGAAAGTAACCTGGTTAACTTTCCCTCTGGAGTGAGAGTGCTTTATTTTTGTGGATGATATGCTTTTTACTGTATGGATCTCTTTTCTTTCTTCAAGTATGATGATTGTATTGAATACATACTTTATAAGTTTGCTTATGAATTCATATTAGATATTTTATAGTAAAAATATTCAGTTGAATTTTAAACTTTTTAGCCAACTAAATATTCTTACTTTATTTTTTAATGCTACATATCTTCAAATACCATTTATCAACATTATGAAAATTTTATTATATTTTATAACATTTTGTAGCAAAACTAAGCATGTTTTTAGTTGAAAAATATATCCTTTGAGAATATTTGCTATTTAATTAAGACAAGCTTGTTTTAACCATTTCTTTTCCAAAAAATGGTTTATTATTCCTGCAGGACATGCCTCTCCTGGAGTTCACATCCCAATAAATAAATATTTGTCAATAAGTAAAGTGGTCTGCAAGTAATCCCCCTATCTAGGGACTAAGGTTCAGTCTTCACTAAGAGAGTGGATAAGAAATACCAAGGTTTGAGATCACCCCCAATTCCAGGAAAGCTGGTCCCTGATTCCCTGAAAGGTTCAACCTGAGTGTCCTGTGAGCAGCAGGTGGATAGGGAAAGCTTTTTAGTTTTTCAGACATCTATTACATTTTGCCTTACTTTTAACACCAGTTTAATGCCAAATGTAGACTTCTTTGAGGATCTTCTGCATTCTGATGTACATCCATCGTTCATTCTACTACTAGCAATGAATGCAGCCTGGTCCATAATCTTGAATATTGTGAATGGATTATCAACAAACCCAGGCACACAGGCATCCTAGCATATGCCAATTTTAATTGCTTTGGTTCTATACCAAGGAATGGTATAGTTGGATCAAATATAGCTCTGTTTTAGTTCTGTGAGCAACTCCCACAGTAATTTTCCATAGCGACTGTGTAACTTACATTCCTACTTACAGTATAGACTTGCCCTCACTCCATTCTGGTCAGCATCAATTGGTTTGTATCCTTCACTGTAGCTGTTCTGACCAGGATGAGATGGAATTACAATGTAGTTTTGTGTGTTTCCCCAAAATTTTTCATATACTTATTGGTCTTACTCCTTTTGGAAGGCATCTATTCAATTTACTTATCTATTTATTGACTGGATTATTCTCTTAGTATTAAGTTTATTGATTTCTTCAGATCTACTTTTAGTCTTCCACAGATAGCTATGTAGTTTTCCTAGCACATTTATAAAAGAGGCAGTCTCAGCTAACATGTTTTTAGCCCCTTTGCCATACAATCCAGATAGCTGTAGTGTGTGGTTTTGTTTCTGTGTCTTCTGTTCTTTAGAAGCTGTCAGATGGCCCATGACAGGGGCATGTTCTCACCTTTGAGAGAGGTCTAATGATGGAGAAATTCACGAACGTTGTGATACTTGGACCTAAAGGGCAGCCAAACTAAAAATTGAAG